CCCCCACCCCGACCCCCCCAAGGGCCTCATGTTCCCGGGCTTCATGTACCTCCACACACTGTTCATCGCGCGCGGCCGCCTGGAGAGCACCTGGACGGTCCTCGAGACTTTCGGTGGGCGGCCGCGCCGCGCGCCGCGCAGAAGCGGAGGGCACCAGGGGACTAGGGGAGGGGGAAGTGGGGAGAGTGCTGGGCTGCTGTTGCAAATAATACAACATCGCCAAGGGCAGGGCCATAATCAAACCGTCTCACCCACTGCCTCAACCAGCAACACCACATCTGCACGCCCCCAACACTTGGGCCTCTTCCCATCAGTCACAGCAGCAAGCCCCCCCCTTTGCCACGCACGCCCCCACACACGACCCACCACCCTCAACGCCCAGGATACGATCGTGACCTCAGATTATCGCGCACCGCCCTGGCCGCGCTCCCAGCCACGGGGCCCGACACGGTGCGCACGCCACCCCGCTACCCCCTCGACCCCCTTTCGACCGCCGGCAAGCGCGGCTCCGGCGCCGCCGCTGGCGCTGGCGCGCCCCGCGAGCGTGCTGTTGTTTTGCAGGCTTGCTGTTTTTTCGCAGACGCAGACGCGGCGCTGCAGGCATCGGCAGTCTCCCAGCCCCAAACGCACCGCAAGCGGCCCTGACGCGTACCCCACAGGTGCTGGAGCTGTCACCCACCGCCCTGGCTTATATCGGGCAGGTTTTTGACGCCTATGACTCATCACAGTGAGCGGCCCGGGCACGGCTCGGCGGGTCGCCCCCAACCTCGCCCCCCCCCCCACGCCAGCTGGCAGCTGTGTAGGCTTCCTGCGTCCCTTTGCTGTGTCCACCCCCCTCACCAGCCTCAGCCGTTCCCCTGCTCCTCGCCCCAGCCGCAAGCCGCTGCCGGGGCCGCTCCTGCCCAGCCATTTGACATCGCGAACCACCCACATACATACACGTCCTTGTTATCCACCCATACGTCCGTCAGAACGCTCCTGCCCCCCTCCCCCCCCCATAAAACACTTGGTCGCACATACACCTCACACCAC